TATTCCAAGAGCAATTTCTTCCTGATTACATATCATTACACTGCTTCTAGTTGTATCTATTACACTAAAGGGAAAATCCATACTAAGCGGTAGTGATAGAGAAGTCTGGCACAATTACTCAAAGGAATGATTTTAGGAGTATTACTATGTCAGACTGATGCTTAGATATTCTACAAAACAGCTTGTCCAATTGTTGTACAACTCACCATGTGTTATTAAAAGGATATGCAGGGTTGACTAGGCTGGTTGTGTCTTTGTTGTGTTTAACACCAAGTCAATGTCAGTCATCCATTTAATGTTATTATGAGATAAAACGGAATGATTTGCTCAGTGATCTCAGAAGATAATTAAAAGTCAAACACACAGATATCTATCTGGAGTCACATATCAGTAGGTTTGAAAAAGGCCCACAGAATTCCTTCCATAACCAGTGAACCAGTTAGGCTAATAACAACAACCTGGCAATTTCATGGTAAGCAATACGGACATTAAATGTTTACATATTTAAGTTGTTACGGTTAAATTATATTTAACACAACAAGATAACAGATTAAAAGCCCCAGCCACCAAGGTGGGATCTGAACCCATGATTCAGATTTCAGGCCTCAGGATTCGATTACTAATCCAATACCAAAACTGTTGATACTGACACCCAGTTTGCCATGCTTTCTCGTTACAATGCATTTTTCACTGTTAAATAGCTTGTATAGATTACAAAGTTAGTCAGAGTTAACTGTTCGGATCCAGTTACCTTTCTTCAGAACTGAAGTTAACTGAAGCGTTAACTGAAGGGTTGTGCTTTCCCTCCACAGATGTATTCAGACCTGCAGAGATTTTCTAGGAATTACTAATTTTGTTTCTGATTTCCAACATTGCAGTTCTTTTGTTTTAAGATTGAACAGTTATTTGTCACAGACTGACATACTCACAGGAGGTGAAACAGGCAATTTTTTTTTTTATTCATTCCCAAGATTGTGGGTGTCACTGGCTAGGCCAGCATTTATTGCCCACAGGATAGTTAAGAATCAATCACATTACTGTGGGTCTGCAATTACATGTAGACCAGATGAGGCAAGGATGGCAGTTTCTTTATTTAAAGGACATTAATGAACCAGATGGGTTTTTCCAACAATCAACAATGGATTCATGGTCATCATTAGATTATTAATTCCAGATTTTTATTGAATTCAAATTCCATCATCTGCCATGGCAGGATTTGAAACCACAACCCCAAAACATTAGCTTAGTTTCTGGATTAATAGTCTAGTGATAATACCATTAGGCTGTTGTTTTTCTAATTTTCTCAAGAGGGAGGCAAAGGACAGGTCAGCCTTTATTGCAAGGAGTTTGGAATACAGGAACAAAGAAGACTTGCAAGAATTGTATGGAGTTTTGTTGAGATCACACCTCAACCAGAATGTACAATTTTGCATTGGAGGCAGCACAGTAAAGGTTCACCAGACTGGTCTCTGGTAATGAGAGGGCTGATCAATTAAAGAGACTGAGTATATTAAGTCTATATTCCTTGGAGTTTAGAAGAACAAGAGGTGGTCTCATTGGAACACCTAGGAATATGAAGGGCTTGACAGGGTAGATACTGAGATGTTGCTTTCCCTAACTGGGCGGTGGGGAGCTAGAACAAAGCGGCACAGTTTCAGGATAAGGGATTGATCCTTTAGGACTGAAACAAAGATTAATATCTTCACTGAAAGGGCTGTAAATCTTTGGAACTCTCCAGCACACATGGTTGTGGGTGTGCAATCATTGAATATATTTAAGGCTCAGACAGACAAATCTTTTTATCTCAATGATATGGAATATGGGCAGGGAAGGGGAGTTGAAGCCCAAGATCAGTCATCAACAGCTTGAATGAAAAAGCATGCTTGATGAGCTGCATAATCTTTTTCTATACCTATTTTTGAAGTTCTTACCTTTGAAGTTTTTGATTAATCTGTTCACAGATTCACAGAATTCTTACAGTGCAGGAGGTCATTTGACCCATTGTGTCTGCAGTAGTCCTTCAAACGAGCATGCTAAGTGTCATTCTCCTACCCTTACCCATTCTACAAGTGGGAACAGATTCTTCCTGTTTAGTCTATCAAAGTTCTTCATGATTTTGAAAATTTCAATCAAATCCCCCTGTTTTCCACCTCCAAGGAAAACAGTCCCAACTTCTCCGATCTATCTTCATCACTGAGGTTTTGCATCCTTAGAATCGTTATCATTGTGATGATGTTTCACCTTAAAAAGGTTATTTTTATTTGGTTTTTTTTGAAGACAGGTTGTAAAGGCAGAGGTGGAAGAGTCTGGGGAGCTAGGAGTTTTTTTTCAAAACAGTTTAGCAATGGAAGGGGAGTCGCCAGTTCTCCCAGTTCAGGTTCTCATTTTTTTTTTTAGCTGTAGCAGTCACAAGATATGTAATTACCAGAAGAGTTGTAAGCTTCAGTAAATAATTCCTAACTGACTTTCCCTGAAATCTCTCTGGATGTTGTTTCCTCCTGCCTGTAAGAATTTGTATTTGAATTTACCTTTTTGCCAAGGGGTGTGTTTATGGAATGTTACGATAGTGGAACAGTTACTCAGTTGAGTTGCTGTATCAGGTTAGTTAAGGTCTCCAATAATTAAGTTATTCTAAATTCTGCTTTCTTTTATTCGGGTTTCATCTGTAGTGTTTAAATAAATTCTGTTTTGCTTAAAACCAAGTGGTTTGACCATTTGCATCATACCTCGAACACCAACTTCACATCTACCTTTAAAATTAGTAGTTAGGATCTAGGCTACCTTCTTAAGATAAATTGAGGGGTCTGGCCTGTCTATGTCATCATAAACTTCTTCTGCACTTTTTCCCCAATACAGTCACACAATACTCCAGCTGAAGTGTAACTAATATCTTATATCGTGTGAGGTAAGGTATGTGATATACATACATTTTAATATCATTTATTTTTGAGTGAAATGTTTGGAATTTGAACTATTGGCAAATTGGTCTGTTATGTGTCTGAAGGAGTTTAATGATTAACATGAAAGTACTTCTGTAGCCGTGGTGATTTCTTTTAAAAACAGTCTGAAAGAGATAGTTTTGGATGTTCCTGGGAATTTGTTTACATTGAGACAGTTCACAAGTAAACAGCCTAGGCTTAAACTTGTGGTTAGAACATTCTGATTTTATTTTGCAATGGTTGCTTAGGGGAAAATACCCACAGCTTGGAAAATAGCCTTTTAGTTCTAGTTTGAGGAGCTCTGCAGGGTTCTTAGCTGAAGCTGTATGTATAAAGCAGTGGCTTCTGAGAAAGAGAGAAGGTAGTTTAGAATTGTTAAAAACAGGTTACCTTCGTGTAAGGAGTTTAGTTTAAAAGTTCCAGACCAGAGTGTTTGGTCAAAACCCTAGAGGGGTTTTGTAAAGGTGAAAAAATCTAGGCTTGGTTATATGACAAATTAAGGAAGAAGCTATCAAATTTTCACAACCAGGAGCTGAAGCCACAGCTAAGTCAAATCCTGTGTGATAAAAGCATTCTCTTTAGTATTTAAGTACTGCAGTGGGATGCTGTTGGGATTAATGGTATTATACTTTTGTTGTGTGTTTTATCATCTTTAAATTTATATCACATATGAATAGTTTAGTTTATTTTATCTTTATTTCTTTTGCATAATAAATGTTATTGTTAAAACCAAATCTGTAACATTGCCTATTTATTGCTTCAGTGAGTAACAACTTCATTAAAACCACACGAAAATGATCTATCAAACCAGATTTCAGTCTGTGATGCAACTCGTCCAGTGTTAAAAACAGCTGGGATCATAACAGTAGATTCAGTATAATCTCCCTACTCTGTACTCTTATTAATAAAGCCGAGGATACTGAATGCTTTATTAACTGCTCTCCATCTGCCCTGCCACCTTCAATGGCTAACGCACATAGCTATCCAGATCCCTCTGCTCTCGTATGTCCTTTATGGTAGTACCCTTCATTTTATAGTCTCATATTCTTTCTACAAAAATGCATCACCGCACTTTCTTTTGCATCGAACCTTATTTGCCAGCAATCCATCCACTCTACCAGCTTGTCAGTACCCTTCTGAAGTTCTACACTGTGCTTCTCATAGTTTTTTTTGCCAGACCACTGATCCAGGAAGTGCTTTCTTGTTGGAGGGAAAGCTCATTTCATGCTCATCTACTTGATTTTCATGCTATTTGCTTCTCCTTCCTCACCAGTTCCCACTTATCGCTCTACCTTTCACACATTGGTAGCATTTCCTAATTACTACATTTGAGCTCTGGAAGAAATCATACATCAAATTTACTTATTACCCAAACAAAATATTTGCTAAAGCCATGAAGAATGCTAATTTCAACTAAGTGCATTTTAATGCTAATCATGTCACTATCACTTGGAATACTCAATATTTTGATTTATTGTACAAATAAATTCTAATACTTTGTTAGCTGAAGTTTTGAAAGGAAATCTGGAGACCAAATTGCAAAGCAGCAATCAAGCATTCTATAGCAACTGTCAGTTCAATGCACATGAATTGCTATTAGAAACTATTTTAAGATAGCATCTGTCAAGGATGTTACCTCTCACCATTATAATCAAGCTAATTGTTAATCAGAGTTATTTCCAAGAGTTTGTTTTCATTAAAAAGTCCAAATATTGATCAAGTTTTAAAGTTCTAGTGTAATATGTAGTTCACAGTCCAAATAAACAAAACAAGTTCATAACAATAATGATCTCTTGACTTAATGTCAAAAATATGATTTCACATATATACAAATTACTCAATATCTTAGGCAAGGTTATATCATATACTTAAGATCTGTTAGACATTTAAAGGAAAATTGCTACTTAAGTGGTTGCAGTTTTTTCCAAAATTAACTGCAATACCAAGATAACACAAAATTATCAACATCTTCCAATTGTTTACTTCTAAGTGTGAAATAAATCAAAAATACAACCATGTTTTAAATTATAGAAATGTATTAATTAAGAATGATAATCTCACCGTTATCTGAAGGACTGAAATTTATCTTGTTCATACTTCTACCAACTACAATTTTCTGCAAATCACTCGATTCATTTTCACTTTCATCTTGGCTGTCATCATATTGCTCCTCAATAATTACATCGGGACTGGCTTCGAGTATTTTAACTCTATCCTGAGCCGGAACGTCCTCAAAGGTTATATTATTAACTGCACCAGGTACACCAGATTGAGCAATTATATTAGCTTCTGAGCCATCTCCATCAGGTGTGATAACCTGTAAAAACACAAAAAGATCATGGAGATTCTGAACATTAGTAATAAAATCTAAATTGAACAAACTTGATTAGAATACTGTTTAATAGACTATTCATGTGCTCTGTTGAAAGACTGTTCCTTGGCTCATTGTCTGCTGATGCTTCAACCTGAGAAATATTATTGTTCATTTTTTTTGCTGTTGGTTTGTCATGTCTTCCACTCCCAGCGTTAAAACAAGGAGGCAGCTCCCAAGTGTACCTCAGCTGGAACAGGAATTGAGGCTGCACTCTTGGCATTATTCTGAATGGTATATGAGCTACCTAACCAACTAACTAAGTGCACCCCTTAGGAGACAATCAATAAACAAAGTCAGATCATTCAAAATTCTTGCCTATAATATTGCAATTAAACAAATGGCATTTCAAATATAGAATAAGATGGCACAATTAATTTTGACAGCGGAGACATAAATGTAACTGCTAATGAGATCACCAATACCTTAGGATGTACAAGAGGGCACAGTGTAAAGAAGAAACACCTATATTTGTATGGAACCTTTAATATAATGAAGTATTCCAAAGGCACTTCACAGAAGCATTAGAAAATGAGGTATAACACCACACTGCAAAAGGAAGAAATTAGATTAGATGACTAAACTCTGATCAAAGAGGTAGGTTTTAAGAACAGTCTTACAAAAGGAAAATGAGAAAGCTGGGGAAGTATGGAACATAGAACATAGAACATTACAGCGCAGTACAGGCCCTTCGGCCCTCGATGTTGCGCCGACCTGTGAAACCAATCTGAAGCCCATCTAACCTAAACTATTCCATTATCATCCATATGTTTATCCAATGACCATTTAAATGCCCTTAAAGTGGGCGAGTCTATATTTTTGCAGGCAGGGCATTCCACGCCCTTACTACTCTCTGAGTAAAGAACCTACCTCTGACATCTGTCCTATATCTATCACCCCTCAATTTAAAGCTATGTCCCCTCGTGCTAGCCATCACCATCCGAGGAAAAAGGCTCCCACTGTCCACCCTATCTAATCCTCTGATCATCTTGTATGTCTCTATTAAGTCACCTCTTAACCTTCTTCTCTCTAACGAAAACAGCCTCAAAACCCTCAGCCTTTCCTCATAAGACCTTCCCTCCATACCAGGCAACATCCTGGTAAATCTCCTCTGCACCCTTTCCAATGCTTCCACATCCTTCCTATAATGCGGTGACCAGAACTGTACGCAATACTCCAAGTGCGGCCGCACCAGAGTTTTGTACAGCTGCAACATGACCTCATGGCTCCGAAACTCAATCCCTCTACCAATAAAACCTAACATACTGTATGCCTTCTTAACAACGCTATCAACTTGGGTGGCAACTTTCAGTGATCTATGCACATGGACACCGAGATCTTTCTGCTCATCCACACTACCAAGAATCTTACCATTAGCCCAGTACTCTGTATTCCTGTTACTCCTTCCAAAGTGAATCACCTCACACTTTTCCGCATTAAACTCCATTTGCCACCTCTCAGCCCAGCTCTGCAGCTTATCTATGTCCCTCTGTAACCTGCAACATCCTTCCGCACTATCCACAACTCCACCGACTTTGGTGTCATCCGCAAATTTACTAACCCATCCTTCTACGCCCTCATCCAGGTCATTTATAAAAATGACAAACAGCAGTGGCCCCAAAACAGATCCTTGAGGTACACCACGAGTAACTGAACTCCAGGATGAACATTTCCCATCAACCACCACCCTCTGTCTTCTTACAGCTAGCCAATTTCTGATCCAATATGGAAGGAATTTCAGAACTCATCGGCCTAGGGTAATTGCTAGTTAAGACACAAGTAGTGTCTTACAAGTAGTAGGTTGACTTCAAATTTATGGAGAGCTGAATGTGGGAGACCAGCCAGGAGTGTACTGAAGTAGTCAAGTCTTAAGATAACAAATGCATGAATGCGGTTGTGAGGAGATGAGCTGAGATGGGGTGTTATGAAGGTGATCTTAGTGTTGGCACTAATACGAGGATGGAAGTTTATCTTAGGTGGCATCAGAGTAGCCAATCTCAGGCTGTTGCCAAGGGAGGGATAGAATTGGTAGCCCAGGAACAGAGTTTGGAGTGGTGGCCAGAGATAATGGCTTCAGGCTGGTATTGACAAAGTCCAAAAAAAAGGGAAAGGACAACAAAGGAAACAAGATGTTCAAAAGAATGACAAAAAGAAAAATTGCATGCTTTAAAAGTGGTCCTAAGGAAGCAGAGAGAAGTGAACTGGTTACAGAGGGAGCTCTACAATTAAAAGCACAGGTAAAAATGAGGTTGAGAGATTGTAGCAGAAGGGTAAAACTTAGCAGATGACTAAGTACCCTGGAGAAGGTTGTGCTGAGTTGCCTACTTGAAGCATTTTGGTCCTTAGAATGTAGGGATGACCACAACGCTGTTAAAGAACGGAATTCCAAGATGCTGATCTGGTGCCAGTGAAAGCACAGTCATGTAATTCCAAGAAAAGATGATGTGTGGCTTGGATAGAAACTTGCAGATGGTGGCATTCACACGTACCTGCTACCCTTGTCCTTCCAGATGGTCGTGGTCGCTGGCTAAGAAGATGCAATTGGTTTTGCTAAGAATCCTTAGCACCGTAGTCAGTCAAAAGGTGCTTTGATGTCAAGGGCAATCACTGTCATCTTGTCTGTGGAGTTCATATAATGTAACTTGTGACAATATTATGGCTTTCAGAGATGTAGTTGGTCCTTTTTTTTTGTGGCGAGGTTTTCAGCCACAAGTGCCAAGCTACCTCTTCCAAGCCAATTAAGTAAACCAGTTGTGAGGCCTTGGGTTTTCTTTAAAATTAGAACAACAGAAGCAGCATGAATGGGTGGACTGAGGCTCCCACAGAATTAGGGTTTAGTTTCACTTTCAGCAATTGTTGGAACGTAGACAATGGCCGTTTAGAATCCCTCTCTCTGTGCTACAGCTAAAAGCATGAGTTCTCTGCTGCCAGAATCACACGTGAAACAATCTGTTTTAATGCCTTTGCCAAGGGTGTGTTTATGGGACAGTTGCTGTTTAATAAGTAAATAATCTATTGTTCGGTTACTTTTTCCAATGGAGTTACAGTTAGACCAATTGTTCTTTTTCTTGTTTGTATTTTAACTGTACAGTAAAAATAAAGTGTGTTCTGCTTAAAGCCAAGTAGCGTAATCATTCGAATTACATTTGGAACACAGCACCTTACACTTGCCTTTAATTAGGGTAAAAGTTAGGGTCTGGACTATCTCCTTGATATCTTTCAAAGGAGTTTGGTCTGGTTCATAACAAATGGGGGACTCATCCAGAATACAAATCTCTAATTCCAGGTTGGGTTTAGGATTATTTGACTCAACAATAATGAGTGGTGAGTGTTGGTATTTTTCTATTTTGGGTGTTGCATTTGATTGGTTTAAATAAGGTGTAGCTTGTGTAATAATGGCTGTTTCGCTCACCAAGAGTTCACTGGGGGCGGAAGAAGTCACTACGGGTACTTTACAGAAAGTGAGCACAGCAAAACTGTCAGAATTGGCAAACAAGTTGGAGTTGCGAGGTAAAGGGAAATAATTGTGGCAACAGCTCAGCATTACTATTGCCAGGAATGCAATGAGAATCATTGGAGATGGCTAAACTTCAACTGCAAATGAAGCAGCTTGAACTAGAGGCAATGGCAGGGAAAAAATTTCACGAAAGAATAGCCCTGACAGAACAAGAGAGAAACGGAAATGAAATAGTTTGAATTATGATTAAACGCAGGGGACAAAGAAAAGGATGGTCCTAGTAGAAAAAAAGGTAGAAAGAGGGAGAAAGTGAGAGCTTTTGAACTTCAGAAGTTGGCAATGAAAGAGGGAAGCCGACTTAAAATGGCAGAGGCAAAAGTAGACAGTAGGAGTAGTGATGGGGACAGTGACGAACAGCAAACCCATTATAGCCAAAAGCACAGTGGGGATCTGTTTAAATAAATCCAAGTTTTACTAAATTTGATAAGAAGGACATAGGAGCCCTTCTCATTTCATTTAAGGAAGTGGCTAAACAACTGTGGAAGAGCAGAGTTAAAATTGTAGGATTAACAGCTGATACGTGAACTAACTCTTAATCATCTAAGTTCAGCTTCCGGCATCAATTTCAAATTGTGAGGGATAAAAATTGTGGAAAAGAGAAATCCTCAGGTAGTAAAAGCAAAGGAAATCTCATTGAAGATAGTAAAGATGGTTTTCCACAAGTTAAAAAGGAAACCCATGAGAGGAGAACAGAAGTAAAAAGCCTCAAGAAGTGTTGGTGGTTTAAGAAAAGCATTGCGAAGACAGATGTGGTAAAACAAAATAAGCCAGTGGAGTTTATTGAAGTAGTAAAGGAGATTCTAGTAGAAGCTAAAGAGCTGCAAAAGAATGTACAGGAGTCAGAGGTTGGTTAATAAGAAAATACCAGGTCACTATAAAAAAATGTACCTGTGTGGGTAAGGTTTACTCATGTATACCAGGAGGAGTAGGTAAAGAAATTAAAATTTTAAAGAGATACAGGAGGAAGTCAATCATCTTTGATGGTGAGAGATGTGGTGGTACGTACTTTGGAAGGAGTATTGCCAGAAAACGTGGTAATGTGTGGAATTCAAGGTGATAAGAGTAGTGTTCCATTGTATGACGTGAGTTTGGAGAATCAGGTGAAAAGTGGTGAAGTGGAAGTAGAAGTAAAAAAAGAAATTCTCTGTTCCGGAGATACAGTTTATCCTTGGAAATTAGACAGCTGAATCACAGGTGGGAGTGATGCTACTGTGATTGAAAAGCCAATGGAAAATCAGGCAACCAAGATATTATAGGAAATATATCTTGGGATTTTTCCTGACTGTGTGGTAATAAGGTCAACAAAGCCACAGGCTGAAACAGGAGGAAAAATCAAAGTATAAAGATAAGGAAGTTGAAGTTCAATTATTAGAAACTATGTTTGATCAAGTGATTGAGGAAAACAAAACAAGAACAAGTGGAGGACAAA